GTGTGTGTGTGTGTGTGTGTGTGTCAAAGAGAGGTGTCCAGGGGAAAAAAAAGTGGTCCGTATTTGGCCAGTCAAGCAGCAGTGATTTCCACAGCTTTCTGTTTTTCCAGGCAGGATAATGTAATATTTAGACTGAATAAATTATAGACCTCCAACAGCGTGTCACATGAACTGTCATGAACAAAAACATACAGACTAATGGTTGGCAAAAATTTGGAAAACACATCACTCATGTAATACATTCTGCCATTCTTTCACTGATACCTTTTGATTTGCCAAACCACAATCTGCAGTGGAAATGGTTCCAATTCAGTTTTGAAATGATTCATGAAGAGGATATAAAAACCAGTTGGGAGGACTGGAATGAGTCCATGAATTCTTCATGGTAAGAGAAGGAAAAGGCAACAGAGATACATGCATAAGGCTTCATGGGACTTACGCTCGGAGGACCTGTCCAATCTCATATTTGTCCGTGACATCAGATATGCTATCGTACATACGCCCGTCTCGCAGGGCAAGGCACCCAAATGGCATGACGTCATTCACCTAAGAAATAAAAAGAAAGACATTTCAATCATAGCACTAGAAAGGGGGAGAGTAAACATCAATTATTTTGATGATACCTTGAGGTAACAGAGAGATAAAGGGATTGCACAGACACATGGACGAGCATGTTAAAGAAGAGGAGTGCACTGATGAAACATTATGAAAGCCTCCAGTGGTTGCAGTCAGAGACACCAAAGCAGGTCTGTTACCATCAGCCATAAAAACACACAGTGCAGTGGAGAACCGCGGCTCGGCCAAGCCGGGTTTCTGAACCAGTCTGGATACTGACGCTTCTGGCGGACTGATTGCGTGCCAACCTTGTCAACAGATACTAAGCTACTCACTAAGCTTCTCTTTACTCTGCTAAAGTCTGCAGATTCTGTGCAACGTCTGTCAAGTTCAAGTTAAACTTTATTTATAAAGGGCAGTGTCCCTGTGTCCCTAAAGCAGCTGGCTTCTCCAGCAATCACTGAGTACTGAGTACTGGGCTTTAATGACGGGAAAATGTGTTTTTGTTTGTAGCCCAGTCTACGTGTGTGTGTGTGTGTGTGTGTGTGTGTATGTGTGTGTGTAGGATTTGCTGTCTGATCTGCAATAGATCAGCTGTTCATGACCCTTTAAAGTTGCAGTGAAAATCATGACTTTAAATGTCTCCCCTCACCTAGTTAAGCTTACTGTTAACACTGCGCTCGCCTGAAAATATCTATACACTATCTCCATAATAAATACACCACCTTTCAAATGTTTTGAAACCCAAAAAGTTCAGGTCATGAAGAGCTGCAAGAAATGGACAAATCATGTCAATAGAAAACAGGCTCTTTTCATTGATTGGTTCACTTTCAGGTTTTCTGCAACAGTTGAAATAAAAGAAACCTTAACAGTTAATGCAAACAATTCCCATATGTAAATCCTCTGTCTGGAAAAAATTGTGGTATTATACCTCTGATACTTTATAAAACTGTATTGCAAGATACTATTGAAAGAATGGTGATAAAAAGGAAGTAACAAAGAAAGACAAACCGGTTTATCAGAAGTTCATCAGTAAGATAATGACCCAAAAGTTTAGAATAAAAGAATTGGACATTGTCAAATGATTGGAAATCAGAACTGTCTCCAGCTGCGAGATGAGTCAAAATCATAGACTGTATTTAAAGATGGCCGACATGACGGCTCCCCAAAACAGGAGCCCGTCATGATTGACAGTTGAAACTGACTGGCGACTCGTCAAAAATGTATATTGACAGAATCTTGCTACAGACACTGGGTCCAAATGCACAAGATGTTTGCTTGTATATTTTTTTGTATTTTTTATACATTTCCATCTATTTATCCTGTACTTTAATTTCTGAAGATATTGATGAACATAAATTCAAAGAAATACAACTGGATAAGCTGGCAAACTTTGGACCGGTAGTTTATAAAGGGTCCAAAACTCTCAGACTGTGGCGCCCTGTATATTTCACCGTGAGATTATTCTTATCACGTCCACTCTAAAATAGCTTGTGACCCCACAGAAGGTCCCAAACGCCTGGGTGGAAAATCAAGGATCTAGAAAGTGAATCAGCAATCGATACGCCATCTCACCACAGTCCTCAGGCAATCCTCACCCACATTCTTTAAACACGTCTATACTGCAGGACACAGATTCCCTGGAAGCTTCAGCCATCCATCCTCGTGGTCCTTCTCCTCCTCCTCCTCCTCCTAAGCACTCCACTTTAACCCATTCCTGCGGGATCACTCATTTCTATTATTTCACTTTGTGGAAATTGTTCTTTATCTTGTGTCCCTGTCGGAAAGTCACTGATTCAAGAAATATGGGATAAGAGGGAATGAGGCATTTGATAGATAGCTTCCATTAATGTGAGTGATTCTATAAGCAGGTAATTTTGTGGAGATGACTTCAGGGTTGTGTTGAGATAAATAGATAAAGAAAAAAGGAACTGGGAAAAATAGGAAACGTGAGGACATTGAAAGCAGAAAGACGATAGAAATCCTCAGATGAAAGGACATTTTTGCTGGTGCTAATTTAGGATTAAGAATTGAATATCATGTGAAATCCATTCTGTCCCTTTCTGTGTTTGTGCGAGTGAATGTGTGTAGCATCACTACTGTATATGATAGGGTTAGAGGTTCTTCTGGTCTACGGTGGAGGCAGGGCTGGAGAGTACTGTGTAATCCCAGCACTGGCCGTAATCTCTAATCTGCACCCCTAATCCAAAGCGCTGCATGGGATACACTGCATGTGTATGTGCACGCGTGCACAAGTGTGTGTATCTGGGAGCGAGAGCAAATGTCATTGCGGTGGTGTCGAATGTAGCAGATGTGAGTTGAGTGCGCGTCGCTCCATATGTGCATCGTCGTTGGAGTGTAATGCCCCAGTGAAACCGTGGGGACCGTTGTGCTGGATTGAAAAGGCCGCGTGTTGCCAGCAGATTACATAAGAGCAACAACATTCCCATGACAAGGTCCAGGATGGTGGAGGTGATGCTGACTTGATGTGAATGAAGCACATCCGTCGCTTTGGGAACAACATGTCCCCTCCGAATTACAGAAACAACTGCCGACAACAGATCCGCTCACCAATAGATTTTTCATTTTCACAGTTTTTGCTCTTTACCTGCTGTTAGAGCATTAATCCCCAAATGTCCACTGTTGATGTTTAAGAGTCTCAAAACGCTCTGCAAGTGATTTTGAAAACACAAGCAGTGACCTGGGAACAGCTTTGGGAATATGCTGAAGCTACTGATTACTACTACAAAGTCAGTAGCATTGTGTCGTTACACAGGCCTCACACTTTTTTTTCAAACTCTTCCTCCAGCTTCTCTAGTCAGTATGGGTTTAACTGAAGCTGACAGTTAAAATGATGTGAGCCTCTTTTTGTTGTGTTGAACACTAAATTCCCAGAGAACTGGAAAGTACCTAGATTCGTCTAAAATGCTGATTTGCAATCTGCGATTCAAGTGTAAAGGTTTTAAAAAAACACCACCACACCCTGAGTCGGTATGAACCTTGTGGATGATGTAGAGTTGGAGGAGACACGGGAGGAAAAGATGAGAGAAGATGGAGGAAAGAGGTGAGAAATGATGGGAGCAGAAAGGCAAGAAGGAGAAAGGCACTGTGATTAAGTGAAAAGGTGGATAGAGACAATGGGAATAGAGCAAAGTGTAAAACAGAGAACTGGAGAGGCAGATTGAGAGTACCTCTCACCTTCACAGCTTCACAGCTGTGTGTGTGTGTGTGTGTGTGTGAAAGTTCGCACAAGTTAATCTGTACTGTGTGTGTGTGTTAACATTGTGCGATAATGTGTTATGTGACTCATGTCTATATGAGAGTATGAGGGGCTGTCCCCAAAGTCAGAAAGCACTTTGACAGAGCAACTCCTCTACAAAACAAACTCACGTCACTCATCCTCCTGAAGACTTTGCCAGATTTGTCAAAGCAGAGATTATAGATAAAATGAAGCATTGAAGTCTAATGAGACATTTAACCTCAGCGACGCTCTCAGCAGCAGCAAACACAGCTGAGAGTGTCACCGAGTTTCACACGATTTTCTGGGTGTTTTCAAACACTCATGTGAATGTGACTGAATTATTTTAGAAATTATGAATGTCATTTTCATCATGAACAGGTACAACTTGACAAACCTGGACAACATATCTCAGCAATTGGAAGTATTTAAATGAACAAATTAAAGAATAAATATCCCCTTTTATTATTTTTCAATCATATCAATAGTTTTGGCACAAACCAATAGAGATGCATCATCACATTCTTGGGTCGCTCGCCATACCGTGCTACATGGCTACAACGATCTAGTTGAATAAGCACACATCATGGATCTCTGATTCAGACAGAGGTCATATTTATGTCATTCAGTTTAAATCCCTGATCATGGGGGATTTAATATAGACTACTGTACGTGAGGCTGTTCTGTGGCTGGAACACAGCCTACAGATGTAAAATCAGCTGTTTGCATTTAGTCACTCCACTGAGCTCAGAGCACGTGAGTGATGTCAAAATGAGAGTTGAGTCTCGAGAGTGCAGGAATACAGTTTATTTTGGCTTTGGCTACGACACATAAATAAAAACAGTAACACAAGACCTAGTTTGATGAAATCGTGAAGCAGCGCTGTATCATGGGAGTTCTCGTCCTCACCACCGTTAAACATGAAAATCTAACATGAAGTGTTCAGGTGCAAATCATGTTTGCAGATGAGCTGGTGTTTTAGTCGAGTTACACTGCCAATCATCGTGATCCACAAGTGAGCAATACAATCAGTGGGAGGAAAAAATTGGCTAACTGGCTAACTGGCTAACTGGCCAGCAATTAGGGCTGGCCGGTATGACTTCATATCCATATCACGAGGATTTCTAAACTTTTACCTGGATTACGTTGAAAGAACAATTATTGGCTGCTCCTTGGCTCTTTTCTAATAACTCACACGTGTAGAACTTGAGTAATGGAGCGTCGCTTCTTCTGCAACAATGAATTTAAAACACAGCGTTGTGCCATAATTGGCAGAAAAAACTATTCTCCTGTCTGCAGGTGTGTGTGTGTGTGTGTGTGCGCGTCTCCTCTTCTCTGTCGAGCTTCACACAAACTGACGATCTCGTTTATTTAGTTTTTTAATCGTTGGTGTCGCATCATGAATCCAGATCGTTCCATTCACTTTAACCCTGATGTCCTGACTTTGTACAAAGTAAACTTCAAATACTGCATGTGTCCTAATAACTCATGATTATTGATGGTTTTTATTGTCAATGTGTAAAGTCGGGGGCCTACTAGCAGCAGGTTTATTTTTCATCATACGCTGTTTGCCCCAGATAAATTATAGCAGAGATGGACAAAAGCCACTTGTAAAAAGGATACGATGCAATTAAAAGGTGACCAAAATGAAATCTCTCATTACCTTGAATAAAATTGTGGATTTCTCTGGGTTGGAACATTTTGGATGGATGGATGTAGATGCACATTTTAAAAAAAGATTCAACTACTGACA